TAAACACACTTTCTTCAATGTATTCCATATTTTACAAGCCTATTTCTTTACAATCATCAAAACTTCTCACCTCTCTTTCGTAATGGTTTTACTCAATTTTGTAAAACGGTCCTAATGGTTATCTCGATAAGGCAAAACGGTCATAATGGTTATCTCGTATACCATTATCCGTTTTATCCATTACTGCAGAAGATGCTCCACGGCATCTTCTGCATTATCTCGTGTTTTCCACAAGGAAACAACACAGAATCAACCATTCTCCACTCCACTCCACTGCACATTATTGTCATGTTCTAGGGAAGCAACTCCATGCAAATCCATGCAATCACATGATGATTGGGATTCTGGTAAAACCCATCTTTACTACTGCAACATTGATTCAAACGAAGAGTACGTAATTCCTGCTAGCAGTGTAGCAGCTTGTGTAGAGACCGAAATATTGAAGAGATAAAAAAGAAACTACTCAAATATCGATCCGAGCTAATTTCATGGAATTATTGAATTTTATGTAATTTTAGTTATTCATCTTTACATGCAACTCCATTCAATTCCATGCAATCATGTGATCCATGTAATAAGGGTAATAAAGTCCATCCGAAATGTGGTCAAATATTAGTCGGGACAGTCGAAGTTATTCATTTTGGATATTTGTTGATCTCAACGGCCCTCTCTATTATTATTATTATTATTATCATTATCATCATCATCATCATCATCATCATCATCATCATTATTAATGAACGAAATTACATCTCATTTAACTTCCTGAGCTCTTAGAAATTAACGAGAGTAATAAAAGCTGATTTGACCGCTCTTTATCTACCTGAATTGAATGCAAACCGCTCACACATATCTTCTTCCATTTTAATTTTTAACTAATTACTGTATAAAGTCCATCCGAAATGTGGTCAAATATTAGTCGGGACAGTCGAAGTTATTCATTTTGGATATTTGTTGATCTCAACGGCCCTCTCTATTATTATTATTATCATCATTATCATTATCATCATCATCATCATTATTAATGAATGAAATTACATCTCATTTAACTTCCTGAGCTCTTAGAAATTAACGAGAGTAATAAAAGCTGATTTGACCGCTCTTTATCTACCCGAATTGAATGCAAACCGCCCACACATATCTTCTTCCATTTTAATTTTTAACTAATTACTGTGAAAAGTCCATCCGAAATGTGGTCAAATATTAGTCGGGACAGTCGAAGTTATTCATTTTGGATATTTCTTGATCTCAACGGCCCTCTCTATTATCATTATCATCATCATCATTATCATCATCATCATTATTATTAATGAACGAAATTACATATCATTTACTCAAAGATCGATCCGAGCTAATTTCATGGAATTATTGATTTTTATGTAATTTTATGTGAACAAGTTTTAGAATGTAATCCCGTAATATTAGTTACTCGTGTTTACATGCAACTCCATGCAATTCCATGGAATCATATGTATCCACCACATAATTAATAATACTGTTAATAATATATGCTATTCCATGAAATCATATGCATCCACCACAATTTTATTAATAATATATTTATCCACCACAGAATTTATTTTTTGTTTCTACAATGGTACTCCTTGCATATGTAGTAAGCAATTTCTAAACGCATGTTGGCCATCTTTTCTTTTGTCATATTCTCCAAAGATTTAAAATCATGATGTTGTGCTCCCAACTCTAACATTTTTACCGCGAAGATGCCACAGTCACAATCAATCTGTTGGGGTACTGTGCAGTATTCGATTTCCCAATCGGCATATCCGTGCTTGCCGATTTCTCTAATTCCAGCAATGCCTTTAAACCCTCTAAGATCATCTATCAGCAAACTAGCCATCGTCTCAATCGAAGTTATCCTCTTAAGGGAGTCAAGCACGACGAGGCGGCACCTCTCAAAGTCAGCCTTGATACAGAACCAATGTGAACTCGTGCCTTTCAAATAATATACGTACTTAGTGTTCTTTTTCCAGGATTTGGTTTTAAATGCTTCCGGCCCCTCGCTGTATGTACCATCCACAATCTTTTCAAGGGATCCAGACAAAACAGGCCATTCTGGGTCATGCTCATAAGAGTTCACGTAATTGTTGAATTCAAAAGGCGCAATGCATGAGTCTCCATCGTCATTGCATAAACGTCTTCTCAGGACGTAAAGGTACTCACTCAGATGCTAGTTAACAAACAAAAGTAATATGTTATTAGAAAACGAAAGATATAAGCATTGTTTGTGTACGAAGAATGAAAGGTTAATGCAACTTACAGTATCCCCTACCCAAAAACCTGGAGTGATAAGGTCAGTCCAGAACGTTTTCACAAAATCCTGAATCTCCTTGTACTGGGCGAGGTAGCATTGTACAGGGCGGTCATCTTTAATTGCTTTTACGATGAAGCTCTTAAATTCCAAAAGATCTGCTTTAGTTGGCGGCTTAGATAAGAGCTCATCGGCTTTCTTTTTCTTCCTCCCGTCCGCTGTATAAGGAGACTTCAAACTGG